ATTGACAACTTCCTTTGAGTACCGAGTCATTTTCGCATTTTTCGTTTTTGGACATTATGCGCCTTTCGTCCTTTTCTCTGTTTCGTCTTTTTCCCTATTCTGTCTTTTCCCCATTTGTCACATTGTTGGCACAACCTCGCTTCTCATGCTCGGAGTTGGTTTTTGACTTCACGTACCTTCATCTTGACTGGTTTTCTCGAAATACGTATCTTTACTTTTGCAAGAAAGTACTCTGGTTGCTCCCGGTGTCCATAAGGGCATGGATGCAAAGTTCTATGAAATTATTTTCTTTTCTTGGGGTGTTTTTCGTAAATATCTTTTGAAGATATTTTATTTCAGGGGTTTTTAAGAAAATATTTTTGGAAGATATTTTTATTCTGGGCCATAAGTGCAGTTTTCACTTTTTAGAAGGGCCATTGTGCAATTAATGAAAGTTATTGCAAAATGTCTTATTTTGAGCCTGGATCCTCGTACAGGATTTATTTTCACATTTCGTCGAGTTGTGTACTCTTGGAATTTCCTCCTGGTCGATGTTTTCCAATTTCAGGGTTTCTGGCCCCGGTTTGCGCTAAACTTGTTTTGGGCATAACTTTCTGCTCGGGACTCGGTTTTCAACGTCATTTCTTCCGTTGTTCATATTTAATTATTTTAAATCTTTTTCGTTCACAAAGTTTTGCCATTTGAGCGTATCTGCTCAAATTTTACTTTTTCAGATCCGGCGGGGCCCATTCGGGGTACTTTTTGAGATTTCTATAAAAGGGGGGTGAGATATTTCATTTTTCATCTTCTCCCCTCTTCATGCACGACCTGGAGCTCCCATGGCAGCCCAAGGGGTGCAGCCATCTTCTCTCTCCTCTTTTGGTTCACTTTTCCTTGATGGAAAGTCTTCGGCCTTAACGTTTGTTGTTCCCCTCGCCGTGCTCTACCTTTCTTGAGTTTGGTTTTGAGGCCAAGTTATGATTTTGATGGGGCTTTCATGGGGATTATGTTCACGGCGTTGTCCCCGACAAAACCTAGTAGTTTCGTCGGATTCGGAGCCGTTCCATTTTGATGGCTTTTGAGATTTTCATCTCAAATTGAGGTAGGGGATGTTCTAGGTTTAAATTCTTGTTATATAGCATGCTTATGATGCTTATACTACTTGTTTGTATGATTAAATATAAAATCTAGAGATTTTATTATTTATTTTTCTTGTACGGGATCTAATTTTCCCAGTTGCTCATGACTTGGTTTAAACATGTAGCATGATTTTATATTACCCCTTTAATATGCTCATTGTCGTGTATTAAAATTGGAATATTTGAATAAGTATTAAAGATTTTATTTAATATTTATCTTAGGTGAAAGATTAATTCACATGGCCTTAACTAGCTTGAAATTAATATGTATTAGCATATTATATTAGGCCTTAGCATGCTCTTCAACATAGTTGAATTTGAAAGTAATTGGAGGTGTTTTGAAAATTAGTAATTATTAATTAATTTGATTAATTAATTTGCCCCGAGTGCACTATTCACTCTATTTGAATTCCGACTTGATATTCTTGATTTACATGCCATATAGCTTCACATCTATTTGATTTAGAATATTCGTTGAGGTTTTGAAACCTTTCATTTAATTAATTTCCTTATTTAAGATTTAATTCTCATGGTGATATACAACTTGGAATTGAATTGTGGCATACTAGAAAATTAAGCTTTGGCGTGGTTGTTCACATATATTAAATTGGGATTAATTGCATGAGAATTGCAACCTTTATTTTATATTTAACTTTAGTGAAAGTTTAATTTACATAGGTGTAACTTGCATGAGATAAGCCTGTAATGTGATATTACATTAGTCCTTGACATGTTCTCTAAGATATGTTAAATTGAGAGTATTTGGTTAAGTTTGAAAATCTAGAGATTTTAATTAAAAGAATTAATTAAAATCTATTTTGTGGTCCTATTAGCTTAATTAAGGTTTTAACTTGATCTTTGTATTGGTCATGACTTGTTTACTAGTATATATTAATTTGGGACTATTTAAAGTTGTTTTAGGCACTTGGGATTTAAATTAGCATGATTTAATTAAAGTTCTACTTTGTTGTTCTAACAACCTAATTGAGTTTTAGAATGGATATAGGTGATGACCTTGCCATGTCCTTTAACATGTGTTAAATTGAGGTTAATTGGAATTGAATCAGAATCTATAGAATTTAATTATGTTTATCTATTTAAATTCTATCAATTTGCTCCATGATCTAATTGTATTTTAGAAGTGGTTTCTATATTCAAATCATGGAATTAGACTTGTTGTATATTCATTTGATTATGTTTTGAACATTGGATAACATAGTTGCTATGTTTGTATTCATGAGAATATATGTTCCAATATTGAATTATATTGTTATAGCGTGTAATGATTCGCACACTGAAGATTCGACATGTGATGTTATTATAGTGCGTAACGAATCGCGCTCTGAAGATTCGACATTGTCATCCTATAATAGTTATGGATTTAGAGCATGTGTTGTGTGGTTACAACCTACTTGTGCATGAAGGTAGTTTCGTGTATTGTTTAATACGTATATAAGTTGTTGACTTATTTATTTTGGAGTCTTGGGACATTGTTACTGTGATATGGCTAAAGTTCGGCTTTAGTGCGGGAGATATGAGTTCTCCCCAATTGAGATAGTGCGCACTAGGGTGGTCTTCCCAGCGGGTTAATGCCCGGAATAACCAATTTGTTCTTGGTTTAGTCTGAGACGTGATGTCCAAGTCTTCCACTATTTGTTTTTCGCATTCAATTCCAAGTTATCAATCATGTTTATATTGTGACTGTGGTTTTGGCTATTGGCGATTTGATGTTGTTAAGTACATCCATACTAAATTGCTATATTTAGTTGATTTAACATTTAGATTTCAAGTTGATAACTTTGAGAATCTGTATCTAGTTGCTTTGTGTAAGCATGTTTCTATCTGGTTGCTTTGTGTAAGCATGTTATATCTTGTTGCTATGTGTAGCATGCTCTTGTGTTGTTGAAATTGCATAAAGGATGTGTTTTATGCTAGAAATGATCTTAGGTAGCTAGGATGTTCCGTGAGTCTCACCCTTGACATAGACGTTAGGTGGAATGAACCACAATAATTAAATCATGCAACTTGTAAAACTTTAGGTCGATGCATGCTCATTTCCTACGAGTAGCTTTATGTTACTCACCCCTACGATACTAGGGCATATTTCAGGAACGAAGACTTGGTTCGTGAAACCTAGCATTCCTTGGATGTCGTGTAGCTTTCAAGTTTCCATTTCACGCAAATGTTAACATGAAATGTCATTTTGTAGACTTATATGTCAAAATATGTATATTTGATTCCATGTATGTAATGTGTACTTAAGTACACTCTTTTCAATGTATTTGATATTTATGAGATGAGGCCGGAGGCCAATGACCATCATATTGTGTTCTATGTACTTTTTAACTTCATGAAATATTGTGAAAATCTTAAAAAATCGCAAGTCATTGCTTCACCATAGTTGCATCGGGTGTGGGAATTCCATTCTCATTCTTTCATAGGGTCTCATAAATTATATTTGAAGTGTGGCAAAGGGCCAAACGGTCATTTGATCCCGTTTTGTATTTTTGGATTCTGAGTTTTCATTCCAAGTTCCATTTTTGCCTTTTTGCCCGTTGGGGGGTCGGATTTTGTATCGGTAGTATTTTTAAGTCGTGGACCATTGTAGCACGTCCAAATAGGTAAGTTACGTTTGCGTGCATGGTCATTTCCGGGCAAAACCTTATCGTTTGTGTTTTGAGCCTCTTGTGAATTCATTTCGCATTTTTTTTGCATATTCTGATCTAGGGGCATTATGGACCTTTCACGGTGGTTTTATTTCCTTCTTTCAACATGGTTGAATAGAAAACGTGATTTTGGGGGGGGGGGGGGGGGGGTTTATTTTTCGTGTTTTTCCAGAAAATATCTTCTTGGTGCCGGAAATCGATCGCAAAGTTTAGTTTTCAGTTTTCTATATAGTAGCTTTTTCGACCCTCTGGACCAGATTTCTTGGGAGGGCATTTTGGGCATTTTATATTGCGTTTTTTTTTAATTCTCTTGCGAGTCACGTAGAAAACTCAATTTTGAGGGGGTTTTTTCTTTGTGTTTTTGCAAAAAAATTCATCTAGGCCTCTAAATTCAGCCTCTGTTCCGGATTTTTCTGAAAAACAAACCCACAGCAGCTTTATGGGCTGCTGCTGCCAGCCATGTGTGCACTAGCGCTCGTGCGGCGCGCATGGGCGTGCGCATGGGGCTGTCGTGGCCCCTCGTCGGGCCGCCGCGACGTCAACTCTTCTCTTGGGCTTTTTTCCTTCGTCCGGACTCTGATTCAAGTGAATTTTTTTTTGAACTTGACTAATTTTTCGCTGTCTTTCCAACAATGTGCTTGGTTGCACCCAGTTCTTCCTGGATAATTACCAGTTTACCCTTTTGCCTTAAGTGCTTGTTTTTCTTCGTCATGCCGTTTCTCCTTCGTCCGGACTTCGAATCATGCGATTCTTAAGTCCACCTTGATTAGTTTTTCATTGTCCTTCCAGCAGTGTACTCAATGGCACCCGAATCTACAGTTTTCAGAAATGACTATTTTGCCCCTGGGGGCTTATTTGTCATGTTTTTGATCTTTTGCTTCCGCATCAGTTCTTGTTGAATTCCACGACCTCATGGAAGGTCACTTTGACTTCTTAGAGTCGTGTTTTCTGTTTTCGCTTCCGTATTCAGATCCGTTATCGGATCATCCTTACGGTTTATCATAGGACACGCTGGCTTAAAAACCAGGGTCGTCACACATCTGATGCTGGACCATGAGATTAGATTCTCCCAATTTGAGATAGAGTTGCAGAAATTTCTTTTGTCTTTAATGAAACTCCAAGTCGGAGAGATGAATGGGCAGTTGAAAAATAAGTGGTCGTGGGATTCATGGTGTGAAAGGCATAGAGCACAAATGTTGACATGTTTTGCCATAACTTAGCTGTCAAGTGTTGGGAGCCTTGCTTGGGCTGTGAGCCAGAGATTGAATTTCATACGAGGTATAGTTGGGGATTTCCAAACTAGGTTGAACCAATGAACTAGAGGAGAAGGACCTGCAAGAGAAGACGTTGTGTGCATTAAGCTGTAGAGGCCTGAGGATGAGGCTATCCAGCGTTTCGTGTCACTTCTAGATGGGCATGGAGGAATTAGAGATGACAGTTTTGGAATTGAGCTTAGTAGAGAATGTGGGAAGCACCAATTGTGATTGACAATGAAATACTGCACTTTGATATCCAAACTGAGGCCCAAATCAAGAAGAATAGCTGAAGAGAATCTAGTGCAGAGAGGACCACCAAGCGCCCAGTTGTCCCACCAGAAGGAGATGCCATTGCCATCCCTAATGATGTGCTTGATTAAAAGCCTAGCTGGATGTCTGAGCTGCAACATTTTCCTCCAGCTCCAAGAGCATTGGTGAGGGATGCCAATGGTCCAAAAATTGCTGGACTTGATCAAGTGAGTATTACACCACCTAATCCATAATCTATCTGGATTTGCAGTTTAGAGCTCCCATATTCTTTTAAGAATACCTGCTTTGTTGGCTAACTCTAGGTTAGGAATACCAAGACCTCCAGCTTCTTTAGGCAAACAAACCTTGTTCCATGTAACTTTGGCCCCTGTAGCTTTCATTTCAGGACCAGACCACAAAAAGGCTCTAAAAATAGAGTTTAGCTCATTGATAACTGACTTAGGAAGGATAAAAATGCTAGACCAATAGATTTGGGTAGAGACAGGTACTGCTTTAATTAATTGCAGCCATCCAGCATAGGACAATGACCTCGAAGACCAGTGAGTAATTCTTTTGGTAATGTTACCAATCAATAGGCTACAATGAGAGTATTTCAGATTTGTAGAGATTAGGAGAACTCCAAGGTATCTAACTGGCAGAGACCCCATTTTAATACCAAGAAGCCCTTTAATTCTTCCTTCAGTAAGATAATCCACTCCTGAGAGGAAAACTTCACTCTTGAATAAATTCATAGTAAGTTCAGACATTGTGCAGAAGTGATCAAGAGCACATTTGAGGATTGAGACTGAGGATATGTCACCATGGCAAAACAGCATTAAATCATCAGTATAGCAAAGATGTGTGATTTTGAGGGCTTCACATCTCCAATGAAATTTGAAAGAGTGAACTCTCTAAACATAGTTGTCAATAATGAGAGAGAGAGCATCCATGACAATGACAAAGAGGAAGGGAGAGATAGGGTCACCCTGTCTCAACCCCCTCTTACCTTTGAAAAAACCTTGAAACTCCCCATTGAGAGCAATGGTAAAGGATGGAGATGAAATACAGGCTTGAATTAAGGAGATAAACTTATCTGGAAACTATAGAAGTTTGAGACAGCTTACAATGAAATCCCATTTAACTGAGTCGAATGCCTTCCTCGGGTCAATCTTGATGGCACATTTAGGGATAGGAGAGTCCTTGTGATATCCCCTCAAAAGTTCATGAGTAAGGAGAATTGGATCGGTGATCATTCTTCCATGAATGAAGGCAGATTGTAAATGTTCAATTATGAATGGAAAAGTGGATTATAATTTGTAGGTAAGCAGCTTTGCAATACACTTATAAATAGTGTTATAACATGATATTGCCCTGTAATCATGGATGGTATTGGGATTTAGGCATTTTGGGACAAGAGCAATGTAGGTGTTGTTAGCCTCAGAGAGTAATTTCCCATTGGTGAAGAATTCAGAGATGGCCTTTGTTACAGATCTTCCCACAATGCTCCAAGCCTTTTGGAAGAAAGTGGCATTAAATCCATCAGGGCCTGGAGATTTATCTCTGCTCAGACTAAACATACAGCTTTGAATGTCCATGTGAGATGGAATTTGATCCAGCATTGAATGCAAATGAACAGGAACTGTCTTGGTGTAGAAATGTTACAGATCAGTAACTGAATGAGTTGAGGGAGGAGAATAGTCAAGTAGCTGCTTAAAGTGATGAATGACTTCTTGCTTGATTGAGTCTGCATCCTCAATGATAGTGCCTGAATTAACTGTGAGAGAGATGATCTTCCTTTTGTTGTTCCTGGATGAAAATGATTTGTGGAAGTAAGAAGAGTTGTTGTCTCCCAATTTGAGCCAAATCATCCTTGATTTCTGCCTTAACATGTCTTCTTGAGTATTGGCCAACCTCAAGTACTCTTTGATCAAGGATCTTTCCATTTCCCTCAGAGAAATATCAGTGAGAGTGGAATCTAAGTCCAGTTGGCATGAGTCCAGCTCCCCCTTGACAGCATTCAACTTGGAGTCAATGTTAGAGAAATCCTTCTTGCAGTTATCTTTAAGGGCAATCTTTAAAAGCTTGAGCTTTTGGACCACCTGGAATATTGATGTGCCTTTGATGAAGGTACTCCAAACTTTGTGGATAGAAGGTAAGAACATGGGATGGGAGCTCCAAGCATTGAAAAACCTGAAAGGTATGCATCTATTTGGAGTGTTAAAGTCCAATTTTACCATGATTGGCCTATGATCTGAAATACCAGGGGTTAAGAAAATGCTTTCTGATAGTGGGAAGGTAGAGGTCCATTGTAGGTTGACAAGAGCTCTATCGAGCTTCTTAGCAATGCAGGCAAGGCCAAAGCTTTTGTTGCACTATGAATATAAAATTCCACTGAACTTAAGGTCTTTAAGTTCTGCAGATTGAAGACACTCTTTGAACTCTGACATAGCTAGGCATAATGTAAGACCCCTAGTTTTAAAAGGGTTATAATTGAAATTTTAATATTCCTTTTTATCGTTTTCATTATTTATTTTATTTGTTTTTGGTATTTATGTGGTTAGGCTTTTCAGAATTAAATTAAGTGTTGGGTGAATTTAAATAGTTATAAATTAAATTGATTTGTTAGTTGTTTTATTTTTCCTTGGTTTAATTGGTAATTGTGATATTTAAATTAATTGGATTTTTATTTTATTATTTGAATTGTTGGACCTATTTGTAATTATTTGAATTATTTGCGTTAATGATATTATTATTTAACTGAATGGATTTATTGGTGCTTATTGGTATTGGTTGCGTTAATTTCATTATTGGGTTTAAATTATTGTAATTAAGTTAAGTGAGTTTTTGGACGTCACCTAAGTGTAGCCGACATAGATTTTAAACGTAGGCTCTGTTTATGGGCCGACTAGTATTTAGATTAGGGCTCTGTTTTTAATCCTACAGGGAATAGGGTTTCAATTAAGTTTATATATATATAGAGCAGTATGTCACCTTAGGGTTTAGCAATCACAGACCTTATTTACGTTCAGAGTTTTGAATCCAAAACTGTAAAGGCAAGTTCTTTCCTTTCTCTCTCCCGTTGCCTGTGTTCTGTGCATCCTTAGACTGTCTCTAGGGTTTTAATTGATCATTAGTTAATTTATACATGCTTGTTATATGCTAAATCAGATGTCTGTACATGTGGAAGTAATCTGTTTTAGTTCTTGTACCTCTGGTTTCTAGTTTGGAGTGGAAGCATGTTTAATCGGTTAAGGTTTTAAAAACTGTAGTTGAATTGAACTATTGTGAACAAGGCATAGGGTTGTTGTTGGATGTTTCTAGGACTCTTAACACCAGTTTTAAGAAGCAACAGAGGGGTAGGAAAGGGTCAGAGATGGAGCAGATCGTCGGAGACGGCGAAGGAACAAACTGGGGCTCTCAAAGGGGAGAGAGCCGGCTCTCCCATGGAGAGAGCCGGCTCTAGGCAAGGAGAGCCGGCTCCCCTTTGTGGGAGAGCCGGCTCTAGGCAAAGTGGAGCCTGCTCCACTTGTTTTGGGAGCAGGCTCTTTCTTTTTGTGCGTACACTGAAGCAGTTGCGCCTTGTTTGGTCCAACTGTGGGTTTTTGAACAATGTCTGGGCTACTGTGATGATTTTAAACACTAATTCATGGAGTATTAAAGCCCTAAGATGCATTAATTTATTTTTATGCTAATGTTTTAAACAGTAGGAAAATCTTAAGTAAGTCGCGGGCTGTTTAAGGACTTAACGGACCGGAAGGATTTAATTGTGCAAACTTTGTCTAGGAATTAAAAAGGGTTGGAACATGGATTCCAAACAATATTACCATGTTATATTAGAGCCTCACATAATAAATTATTGTGTTAGTACTATTGGATTTAACAGTAAGAGGGAAAGTGCAACGGTGCAGGCTGTTTATGGAAGGAACGAATTTAATTGCCTAGTTTAATTTCAGTAATTTAACGGAGTATGTATATATTTATAAATCTTGTTGGGGTGCCATGCTAGGATCATTTAATTAACAAGTTTGATCTAGGCATATCCTGAATGTTAATTGTTGAAATACTAAATATTTTTCTGGAATGCGTGGACTTAAGCTTGTAATCTTAATTGCGGTAATATTAAGCATTTCACTGCAATTACTTGGATTAGGGTTTGGACTTAAATTGCTGAACTAGTACTTAAGTTCTGTCAATCTAATTGGATGTTGGCCTGGAATTAATTGAAGAATTAAATATATATTTTCTATCAATTTCATGGATGAATGCTGGAATTTAACTTGACGAATTAGTAAACTTTGTCTCGTTTGATTACATGGATGGATTCTCGATTTGTAGTTGATAACTTGTTTAAATTCTGTGTTTATTAACTATATGGATAATGTGGACTTTATTTGATGTACTGCTTATAATGTTGCATCATTTACGGATCATTTGCATATATGCACCGGTATGGGACGGTGGCATACGGAGGGATGGACTAGGTCACAACGCTAATTCCTACCCATTCATACATACGGAATGGATTAACTAAAAACAGTTAAATCCTACATGGTTTCATGTCCTGTCAACTAAAATAGTTGAACGACATGCTGGATGGTTGTTTATATTTCTGCGTTAGGATGAATAGGGTTTTAACTAAAACATTTAAATCCTAATTTTATGTCGTGTCATGGCAATGAATCAGTTGAGCGGCACTACATTGGTTTGGATGGGAATTTATATATATAAATTATGGTACTGCGATTTGAGCTTGAGTCTCATAGTCGACGGTTAGGGTGCGTATATGCAGTAGGATGCGTAACTAGCTATGTTAGTTGAGGTATACCCTGTTAGGCTCAGGTAGTCATGCCCACTCAGGTGCGTATTGCATGTTACCTTCTATTCAGGTTGAGACCCTCAGCATAGTTAGTGAGAGTCCTATAGTGTGGGTATATATTTATCTATTACGGACTATATAGATATGATTGAGAGGTTTAGGATGTATCTGCATATCGGGTCTCTGTTTGGATTGTAGTTAGGATAGAACTTGTTCGTGGACCTGACCCACTATTATTTTTCAGGTAACGGACGGTTCTAGGTCTTAGAGCTAGTTCGTGCTGAGCAGAGACGACTACTCATTCTACCGACGATGTAGGAGGTTCTTCATGGTTTAGCAGTGGACTTCTTTTTAGTTGTTCGCTTTCCAGTATTGGCTTTTGATTAGGGGTCCACCAGATGGATTCCCGAGTTGTATTATAATTGGAGAAGTTGGATGTAACAGACTAGTTCTTATTTATAAGATTTATGCTGAAGATTTCAATAAAGGATTTTCATTTAGCTTCTTTCTAGCGAATTTTATTTACTCATGTTTATCTTAATTATATTCTGCGTTCGATTATTGCTAATTTGTTTGATATCCTCAGGTAGTAGGGCGTGGGCCTGGCCAACCCGCATCCGGAAATCCGGGGGTATCGCAGTTGGTATCAGAGCACTCCAGATTCTAGTGTCCTTATGAGTGTTTTTCGTTATAGGACTTCCACGTTGCGTCTCTTAAAACTTAGAGCCATGTTAGGATTCGTTGTACTTTCGTTACGGATCGTTAGGAGGAGTTGATGTTAATTGAATTCGGTAGATATAGAGTGGTTGACACGAGATGGAGGAAGTGGTTCAAGGCGAAAGCGATACAGACCCAAAGGAGTCACGTAAAAGGTTGTCGAGTTCTTTACCAGAAGCAGAACTTAGGATCGAAGGTTAAATTCCAAGGTTGGCATTACTTAGAAAGTATACGCCAAGGAAGAATTAAGGTGCAGGTGTTAGGTCACCGCTTATCGGGACCAACACAACTTCAGTTGTTCTCAAAAAGGAGGCAAGCGAAGAGTAAGATTATGAAGAGGATCTCAAGGGAGGAGATATCAGCGTCTCCAAGAAAGGGGATATTGAAGCTTGAAGATAAAGGATCGCATGAGGGTGCTCTCATTCACCAGTAGTATAATGAATGGTACTAGTGGAGTTGGTGTGAACCAATCTACATATAGTTAAAGTTTCGTATCATCTCTCCGGGAGTTATTTGCAAAGTACTCTTTAGGAGTTTGGGAATCGGATGGAGTTCTTACCAGAATAAAGACGTGATTTTATATCACATTCCGGAGAGTATGGGGATTAGGTTGTGATAGTCTAAGTTGCTTTGTAAAGCCACGATAGACGGTTTATATTCCGCATATTAGGAGGATGAGGGTTAAGCCTTTGGATATTTGTTTAAGCAAACGATTGCGCGGTTAAGCTACGGTTAATGGATAAGTTTCAAGGTTGGATAATTACCAACGAAACTATGGAATGAACTTTTTTGAACTTGAGTTCAAAGGAGGTTTTCTTCTCTGGAATGGAATATGTCTTAAGTGGAATTATATTTTGGTTGTTTTGTGTATTGTATGTACTACATGTTTCATCTTTAATTGTTATGTATTTCAGTTTTGTTATTACGTGTTTCATTTTATTAATTAGTCTGCATTGGGAGTATAGATTGGTTAGGAACACAAGTATGTGATCAACCAACTATTATACTGATGACATGGATAATAGTGCTATGTACGCTAGGATTTGTGACAGTATGGTCATAGGATTGGGTAGAAATACAAACTTCTAGCCAATCTAATGGATCTGGATATGCATCAATATGGTATGCTAGTTAGGATGGGATAGTTAAACTATCAAAATGAATCAAATAATCAAAAAGGATTAGTTTGATATGCTCAATGCTAGGTGGGGATTCGTTTTTACACCGCTATAATAATGATGGTTGTTAGTGTCTTGGGGATTCGTGAGGTTGTGGTAGGTAAAGATTATTGTAATGCCACTATGGTTCAGACGGAGGATTTTGTACTGGTAGGTACTTATTAGAATGACTCTAAGAGAGGATAGTGGGCTGATAAAATCTTTAGCAGTCTATTCGTAATCAAGACATTATTTTACGAGTGTGTCATTTGGAGGAGTTGCTGGTGTTACACTTGGAGGAGGAACCAAAGTTTCTACACTGTATAAAAAAGTGAACTTTTTTTTTTTTAAGGTTATCTTTCGCAACAATTAGCTGTTGCTCCGACATTGATGACTATATGGAGGATGCGAAAAGTTTCAAATTCAATTGAAACGAGACAAGGAGTTAACTTGACACTTACCCATAATAGAGAAGTAAGGTGTGTTAAGGATATGAAGGT